GGAAAGGCTGTGAAGCACGCCTCATGGCCCCACAGCGCACAGGCCACGATCCGGTCATGCACCGGTCCGGTAAGGGCCAGCTGAGGAGGCTGTGAGGCTCACTTCACCGCCCCTCAGACTGGGGGCCGGTCAGGCTCCGCTGTGGCGAGCCCCCAGCGTGTGGGCCTGTCCGTTCAGGAACCGCTGTGGAAAGGCTGTGAAGCACGCCTCATGGCCCCACAGCGCACAGGCCACGATCCGGTCATGCACCGGTCCGGTAAGGGCCAGCTGAGGAGGCTGTGAGGCTCACTTCACCGCCCCTCAGACTGGGGGCCGGTCAGGCTCCGCTGTGGCGAGCCCCCAGCGTGTGGGCCTGTCCGTTCAGGAACCGCTGTGGAAAGGCTGTGAGGCGCACCACACGACCCCACAACTTCTCGGTCCAGGCCCCGCTGACCGGTCAGGCCCTGCCAAGGCGAGCCCCTAGCGTGTGGGACTGTCTGGTCAGGTTCCGCTGTGGAAAGGCTGTGAGGTGCGCCTAACGGCCTAACAGCCTAACAGCGCATGACCTACGGTCCAGTCATGCCCCGGTCTGGTAAGGGCCAGCTGAGGAAGCTGTGAGGCTCGCTTCACCACCCCTCAGACGGGAGGCCGGTCAGGCTCTGCTGTGGAAAGGCTGTGAGGCGCACCACACGACCCCACAACTTCTCGACCCAGGCCCCGCTGACCGGTCAGGCCCCCCGAAGGCGAGCACCCAGCATGTGGGCTTGTCTGGTCAGGCTCCGCTGTGGAAAGGCTGTGAAGCATGCCTCATGGCCCCACAGCGCATAACCTACGGTCCGGTCATGCATCGGTCCGGTAAGGGCCAGCTGAGGAGGCTGAGTCTCGCCTCACCGCCCCTCAGACTGGGGGCCGGTCAGGAACCGCTGTGGAAAGGCTGTGAGGCATGCCTCACGACCCCACAACTTCTCGGTCCAGGCCCCGCTGACCGGTCAGGCCCTGCCAAGGCGAGCCCCTAGCATGTGGGCCTGTCTGGTTAGGCTCCGCTGTGGAATGGCTGTGAGGTGCGCCTCACGGCCCCACAGCACGCGGGCCACGGTCCAGTCATGCACCGGTCTGGTAAGGGCCAGCTGAGGAGGCTGTGAGGCTCGCTTCACCGCCCCTCAGACTGGAGGCCGATCAGGCTCTGCTGTGGAAAGGCTGTGAGGCGCACCACACGACCCCACAACTTCCCGGTCCAGGCCCCGCTGACCAGTCAGGCCCCGCGTAGGCAAGCCCCCAGCGTGTGGGCCTGTCTGGTCAGGCTCCGCTGTGGAAAGGCTGTGAAGTACGCCTCACAGCCCCACAGCACGCAGACCACAGTCCAGTAAGGGCCAGCTGAGGAGGCTGTGAGGCTCGCGTCACCGCCCTTAAAATTGGGGGCCGGTCGGGCTCCACTGTGGAAAGGCTTTGAGGCACACCTCGTGGCCCCCCTGCACGTGGGCCCCGATTTGGTCATGCACTGGTCCGGTAAGGGCCAGCAGAGTAGGCTGTGAGGCTTGCGTCACCGCCCCTCAGACTGGGGGCCGGTCAGGCTCTGCTGTAGAAAGGCTGTGACGCACGCCTCATGGCCCTACAGCGCATGACCTACGGTCCGGTCATGCACCGGTCCGGTAAGGGCCAGCTGAGGAGGCTATGAGGCTTGCCTCACCGCCCCTCAGACTGGGGGTCGGTCAGGCTCTGCTTTGGAAAGGCTGTGAGGCACACCACATTGCCCCCCAGTGTGTGGGCCACGGTCCAATCATTCACTGGTCTGGTAAGGGTCAGCTGAGGAGGCTGTGAGGCGTGTCGCACCACCCCTCAGACTGGGGGCCAGTCAGGCTCCGCTGTGGAAAGTCTGTGAAGCACGCGTCATGGCCCCACAGCGCATAGGCTATGGGTCCGGTCATGCACCAGGCCAATAAGGGCCAGGTGAGGTGGCTGTGAGGCTCGACTCACCGCCCCTCAGACTGGGGGCTGGTCAAGCTCTGCTTTGGAAAGGCTGTGAGGCACACCTCATGGCCCCCCAGCGTGTGGGCCTGACTGGTCAGCCTCCGCTGTGGAAAGGCTGTGAGGCGCGCCTCACTGCCCCACAGCACGTGGGCCACGGTCCAGTAATGCACCGTTCTGGTAAGGGCCAGCTGAGGAAGCTGTGAGGTGTGGCTCACCGCCCCTCAAACTGGGGGCCGATCAGGCTTCGCTGTGGCGAGGCGGTGAGGCATGTTTCATGGCCCCCCAGCGTGTGGACCCGTCCGGTCAGGCTCCGTTGTGGAAAGGCTGTGAAGCACGCCTCACGGCCCCACAGCACACAGGGTATGGTCCAGTCATACACCGGTCCAGTAAGGTGCCAGCTGAGGAAGCTGTGAGGCTCGCCTCACCACCCTGCAGACTGGGGGCCGGTCAGGCTCTGCTTTGGAAAGGCTGTGACGCACACCTCATGGCCCCCCAGCGTGTGGGACTGACTGGTCAGCCTCCGTTGTGGAAAGGCTGGGAGGTGCGCCTCACGGCCCCACAGCGCGTGGGCCACAGTCCGGTCATGCACTGGTTGGGTAAGGGTCAGCTGAGGAGGCTGTGAGGCGTGTCGCCGGTAAGGCCCCCAGCGTGTTGGACTGTCCGGTTAGGCTTCGCCGTGGAAAGACAGCGCATAACCTACGGTCCGGTCATGCATCGGTCCGGTAAGGGCCAGCTGAGGAGGCTGAGTCTCGCCTCACCGCCCCTCAGACTGGGGGCCGGTCAGGCTCTGCTGTGGAAAGGCTGTGAGGCACGCCTAATTGCCCCACAGCGCGTGGTACCCGGTCCGGTTATGCACCGGTGCGGTAAAGGCCAGCTGAGGAGGTGGTGAGGCTCGCCTCACTGCCCCTCAGAGTGGGGGCCGGTCAGGCTCCACTGTGGACAGGCTGTGAGGCGCAGCTCACGGCCCCACAGCTTCTCGGCCCAGGCCCCGCTGAGGCGAGCTTGACAATATATACACTGAGAATCACAGCTGGGACTGGGTAAGAGAATTGCACCTATCATTCATCACCAGTCCATCTGACAGCATGCACACTGCAGTAACCAGAGAGAGGCCCAGATGTCCACACACGCTGGTTCCCCAGTTCTAATCCAGATTCAGCTGGTTAAATCCATGTTACATAGCTCAATCACTTCCTGTCTGCAGGGTGATGTCTTTGCATGGAGAATCAATCAGCATTTGGAGAACATCTACAGTGTCAGCAGCACTTCCATCCAGGCTGGAGACCCACACACCAGTGAGGGGGGACATCTGCTCTACGCCAGTCTCCTACAGCACGGGGACAGCCGAATATCTTTGATAAGTACGGCCCCTGTTATTGTAATATTTGTCATAAGGATGGAACTTTTTAAATATAAATGCTTCCATTCTTACATGTAGGCTACCTGTGCCACATTCTGCCTCCAATACACTGTATAACATTTACCAAGCTTTACACCAGGGGTTTTCAAAGTGTGGAGAGGTGAACCTCCTTTCAGAGGAGATCGTGAAAACAGCCCCCCCCCCCATTATCGTTATTGTATTTTATGTTCCACTCAGCCATAAAAATGGCTTTCAACAATAAATATCTTAAACTAACACTTTTTCAACACAATTTCACTCTCAAGGACTATAACACATTGATTCATTTAAATAGATAAAAATAAAATGAAATAAAAATACAACCAGTGTTCTCCCACTTTCACAGTTAAACTATGGGCTAGTCTTACTTAAAATTATTTACCAATGACAAAATGAAAACAGACAATAGTTTTACTAAAATAGCCTCAGTTCAACAAAATCATACATTGTGTTGCAGCAGTTGTCTAAACTAAGAATCAGCTGCTGAGCAGTAGAGAAGGCAGGTCTGTTTGTCCAAACAAGCTCGGCTTCCTATGTTTGGTCGCTTATTGAAGCAAACCATCATCTTACCAGTCAGTCATAATGTAGAACACTGGGCAAAAATCCACACAACTTACTGGTCAACAAAAAAAGAGGGCTCCCATCTCTTGTCCCTCTCCCACGAGCTGCCAAGCAACCAGCACAGAGATGATATTAATTAATCTGTCCTCTACTGCTGTACCCCAGTGACACACCCATACACACCAACATTAGTGGCTCTGTGACAAACATAAAACCCAAATACCTTCTTGGCTCCTACACATTGTAAGGCCTAGTTTTACTTAAGTCGAATAATGATCAAACTCAGTCATCGACCAAACATGTCATCACTGCGCACCATGCATCCTAGGTAGGTACTTTATTGATCCCACAATGTTCCAGCAGCAACAAAAACCATAAGAACAAACACCACACACATATCTAGAGAATCTAAATCCAAACAGAATATAGTATTCTGTAGTATCTGGAGAATCTTACAACAGGTCTATTTCATCCTCTAACCTTCACATTATTTCAGTCATAAGACTTTATTCTCTTTCTTCTTGCCTTTCTCCCATGTAGAAAGAAAGCACAATTGTTATCGTAAATGTGTTATACATTTATTGTGTTGATTTCATATAATTCCATATATTTTAGTTACTATAAGGCCATTAGTTATCAGTGAAACAACAATAAATCGTTAGTATGTAGGAAGTAATCAAATATGAGTTAATGTTTCAGCCTCTGTCAATAAGCATGTGGTTGACCTGTCAGGAGCTAGCACAGAGAGTAGAGGACTCTCTCCGACAGCAGGAGATCAGCTCCCTGCTTGTTCAGATTGTGGACCTGCAGGCCCGCTGCAAAGGAGTGAGACACACACACAAATACACACAAACTCTCCAGGCAAGGTGTCCTTAGGAGCAGTTACTGACCTTATGTAACAGATATTATGAAACACTTGCCTTTTGCTTTCACATTTTTCCATGTCATTTCAGTCTCAACCAGTGCATTAATGTCAAATCCCAGTAAAACCTTATTCCCTGAAGGAGTTGGAGGAGACAGAGTGTTGTAGCTGTGAGAAATATTCCT